TATGATGCTTGTTATAAATGATCAATATTTTTTGTGTTAAAAAGTATATATTCCGAAAATGGTATATCTCAATATAAATAAATTATTTTATACTAGATCAACCCTAATTTTTTTTTTTTTATTCCATGGACAAATGATTTCAAAATTTCTATTTTCCTAGCATTTGTAACACCATTTCTATACGTTGGAACTTTAGTGGGATTCTGTCTGTAATTTCGAAATGCCAGTAAAAGTGTGAACGAAGTTGATATTTTTAGCTAGAGTTGCAAAAGATTCTATTCTTATTGGTCAAGAAATATGCATCAAAAAGATTCTTTCTTTATATATATATACTGATCCCGATTTGATTGCTCCATCATAATATGTTGTTGAATATCCTCCGATTCATGTCCCAAATTGTTTTGTCGAACACATTAGTGGTTTTTTTCTAAAGGTATAACGAAAAAACTCATTCACGGTCACAATTGTTCCTGAAACTAAAGCTAAATTTGAGATTTGTAGAAACTAAAATTTTTTCTTTTGTTATTTATAACATATAAATAAATGGAAAAAACTGGGATCAATAGTGGAGGTCTCGAAACATATATTGCCAGTTTGATCATATATTTTGATTTTTACATCAATATAGATTAGCATTTCTTAAAAGGTAAAAGATGAAATTTATATGCTACATTATTTGAAACTAGAGTGTCCACTTAGAGTCTTAGATGATTATTAGATCTAGCAAAATATGAGAAAGAGAAAGAAGGCTGGCCCCTAAGATCTTGGAATCCCTATAACATGTGGAGAGAAATTATGACATCTAATCATTGAAACAGTCAACTTGCAAATGGCAATGGCCCATCTTAAGCTTTGTTCCAACAGTGGAGTAAACCTAGCAGTAACACAAATCTATCAAGACATTACATATTGCTTTGCTCCAACAATGGATTGTTTATTATGCTTTTCTCTATCTTGTGCCATAGATTCTTTTGCAAAACTCGGACATTGTTTACATAAAAAGGTCATGTATATGATTTCTCATTTTTCTTATTGGGATCACATTTCTTGATTAATATATCATGACGGTTGATTATGTGACACCCGATCCCTGATCACTTTGAGCCCTAGGTCTCGTGTCCTAACTTACTCAACAAGCAACATACCTGCACAAACTAAAAGGAAAAAAGAGGGGTAAGTAATTYCGGGAAGAAATTACTCAGTGAGATTGCTACCCACAACAACTCTAATACTTGGAAACAATAGGYWATCAAACACATTAAACCAGAYATAGAACATGCATCACCCAACTTATTACTAGCAACATAACATTCACAACTAGCATTTCTACACCATAATCTYTTTTACTTATATATTAACTCATACTTAAACATTCCACTTTTCACATTTTCTA